AATATGCTCATAGCAACAATAGATGGCACCACAAATATAATTGTATTGCGCAATAACTGTTCTATTGCTAAAATTTATAGGTGTTGGATGGCTTCGATTAAATGAGTCAGAGTGAAAATAAAAGTGCAGTGTTTAATTTAATAGTATAGAAGCATAGTGAATTAAGGTAGTCGATATCTGGTGCCGAATCTCGGGATCTGAACATAATGGTGAGTAGAGTGAGTAAACAGTGACAAGTGATATGAACTCAAGACTTCATTACGGACGGTGGTGACATACAAGTTCTAAACTCAGTACAACGAAGTATTTCCATTTCTTGAAAGCTTAGTTTGCCTGCCTTATTCTAAAATGGGATCACTTTTTTTAAGCCAGGAAGACAAATTGGATCATTTTAAAAGAGGTTTTGCTAATTATAACAAATAACCTAAAGAAAGAATTATTATGCATTATATTAAAGCAAGATTAGAAAATCTAGAGAAGTTAAATACCAACTTTTAACTGTACTTGCACAAATATTACAGACAGTTAAGAGGGAGGAAAAGGATAAGATGGACTATTTCGAAAACGACATAACAAAACTAACAGACAATTTACGAGCAAAAGCTTCACAAGAAAAGATCACAGAAATACCTCAACAACCATTGCCATGTGAAGTAAAATTTCAAATAACCTGTGTTTCCTGGTGGCTATGAAGAATGGCAAACATTTTATGATTTACTTCGTTCACTAATCTATAACAACGCCAACTGCACATTTTCCAAATGAACAGCGAGTGGACCTCAGGAGGAAAATGCTCATGAATGTGAAATTCAAGGATTCGCCATACTGCCTCTGACGAACTTATATATCTTCACCTAGTGTAGGTTTGTACTTCATCCCAATTACCTTAAAAGTAGTTTGTCTGGTGAATCGGAGAGTTTACTAAAAACTTTAGCTATGACCGATTCTAAATACGAAGAAGCCTAGCCCCTTGGCTGTCTAAACGCCATATTCTGGCGTCTCAAATAATATGCGCATCTGTCAAACGCCATTATAAAGCGTCTTTGATAGCAAACTATTTGTAACATATATATGATATATATATACACACACATATATATATATATATATATATATATATATATATATATATATATATATATATATATATATATGCGTGATTGATTTTGTCTAAATTTGATTTAATAATGTGTTTTTTTTTGTGAACCTCCTTATTTTTTGTCGGGTTTCGTAAACAAAAATTTATGATTTTTTTATTTTTTATAATTAAATATGCTTTTGACGTACAAGTAAAAAAAAATAGTACGAATACGTTATAATACGTACGTTTCGAATATATCTTAAAATTATCGGGTTTACCTGAAACAACGACTAAGAGAAATGTCCTATCAAAAATAGCTGGATTATATGATCCCCTAGGATGGATAGTACCAATTATTGTGACGGCAAAAATTATATTCAAAAATTATGGAAATCTAGTTTGTTGGGATAAAATACTAACAGAAAGCTTAATGAAAGAATGGTTAGAATTCGAAAACCATCTCACTAAAGTAAAGAGAATTGTTGTACCAAGATGGGTAAACACGAGAAAGGAAGATATAATAGAATTGCATGTATTCGCTGACACATCACAAACGGTCTATGTAGCGGCAGTTTATTTGAAATCAGTTGACAGTAATGGTCATGTGTATGCTAATTTAGTGTCATCCAAAATTAAAGTTTCACCATTTAGCAAGGAATCATCAATTCTACGACTAGAGCTGTATGCTGCCTTGCTAGCTACTAATTTGATACACGAAACATCACAGATAATGAAGATTCCTAAAGAAAATCTATTTGCCTGGTCTGATTCAACTGTGGTGTTGACTTGAATTAACGGTGAGCCTAGCAGATCAACATCCGTCAGCAACCAAGTCTCATAGATTTTGATAATGTTGGACAGAGATCAGTGGAGTCACGTCAACACAAACGATAATCGAGCAGACAGTGCGTCAAGAGGTGTATCCATAAGCCATTTTCATGATAATAACCTGTGGTGGCATGGCCCCTCGTGGATTCAAGGAAAGATGACTCAATATATACAGACTAAAAGAAAATATATAAATAAAGAAGAAAACTAAGACTAATCAAACATTTTCTTACAGTAAAGGCAAGTCGTGAAGAAGATCGATTATTTACGAAGTTTTCGAGCTTAACTAAAACTATAAAAGTATTAGCTGTATATAAAAGAGTTTTAAAGTGGAAGCTACCTAGAGATCAAAGAAAGTTTTCTAAAATTGTTACTGTAAAAGAAGTGGACGAAATTCTTCAATGTTGTGTCAAACATAGTCAGAACATTTTTTTTGAAAAGGAGATTCAAATGATAAAAAAACAGGGATATAGTAGCAAAAACATAAACACTTTCTTTGTCCAATTATTGACGAGAATGGTGTGTTAAGAGTTGGTGGCCGCATTCACCGTGCTCAAGTGGACTATGACAATAGGCCATATTACTAAATAAATAATATTGGATGTTCACATAAAGACATTTTATGGTGGGCCACAAATCACGTTAAATTTTATACGATCTAAATACTGGATAATTCGTGCAAGAGAGCTGGTTAAGAAGTGCTACAGCATATGTATGAAATGTTTAAGATACTCTAGGCAGGACATTATTTTCAACACAGATTAAAGCCATCTCAACCGTTTCAATCAGCCGGAGTTGACTTCACATATAAATATACGAATTTCACCGGTCAAGGAGCTAAAGCATACAAATGATAATGATTTCTTATATTTACGCGAAATTACATTTAAATAATATTAGCTTTTTACGGATTATATCACGTATATTTTTTATATACTCGACTTTTCGAGCACTTTACAGCACCCATGGTCACGGGGGAGGGGGACTGAGATGTTCAACGTCCAGATGTCATAGTTAACCGCGGTTACCATAGATTTTAATACCATTTTAATATTTGTTCCAATCTACACATTATGAAATTATAGTATCTTGAAGTCTTGCAGTTGTATGCTTGGGTTGAGATTTAATTTGATTAATTATAGGATCCCAAGCAGATGGCCACCCAGCCATCTTCTCTATTGAAATTAGGATGTTTTATTGATTTCAATAGCCTCGTGAATCATCCTTGGAAGGAATCGGTGTTATTTAGCAATGATTTGAGGTCTATCAAATCTGATGTAGTGACGGGAGCGAACCTATACGTATTCACAGACTGCAAACCTCCCGGAGCATCGATTCTTTACATCAGCTGTATGTTCTTTAATGCGGGTCATCTTCTCTATTGAAATTAGGATGTTTTTTTTATTTCAATAGCCTCGTAAATCATCCTTGGAAGGAATCGGTGTGATTTAGCGACGATTTGTGATCTATCAAATCTGATGTAGTGACGGGAGCGATTCTCTACGTATTCACAGACTGCAAACCTCCCGGAGCATTGATTCCTTACATCAGCTGTATGTTCTTTAACGCGGGTTTTAATTGATCTTTTAGTTTATCCTATGTGGGAGAGACCACATTCACAATCAACCTTCTACACTCCTATATCTTGCAGAGGGACGTTACACTTGACTGATGGTAAAAACTGACCAATCTTCTTCGGCAGCTTGAAGTATGTTTTAATGAAAGCGCGCTTGAATATGTAGCCAATCTTGTCAGTGACTCCTCTGACATATGGCAGTACAGCAGGTACACGCTTGACTATGTGACCATTACCACAAACTCCAAATCAATTTCTGGTGGGTGAGCCCTTGATCATAGTAACAGAAGAAAACTATTCAAATGTACCGCTAACTGCACTACAAAGATGGAAATTCAATCGAAAAATGGTAAACAGCTTTTGGAAATAATGGTCAGAAGAGTATTTAGTCCCACTAAACCAAAGATATAAATGGAATACGAAGAAGATTGAACCCGAGATCGATGATGTGGAAATAATAAAGGACCATAACTAAATAGTTATGATCCTTTATTATATTGACCAAATGGTTGCTCGGGAAAGTCATTAAAAAGCATCCTGGAGCAGATAATATCACAAGAGTTATATCTATAAAAACTAAGAATGGTGTTTGTAAGCGCCATTGTAATGAATTGTGTTATTTACCTAAGAATTAGAATGCTTGTTAATCTCATACAGTTATTTTTTTGTATTTATTAAGAAGCTTACCTAATTCTATAGATATTTCCATTTTCGTTTATATTGTGCCTCATGATGGGCGGTTTACATAAATATTCTATTTTGATTTTATTAGAGGTAGATTAATTTAAAATTTTGTTAAATTTCAAAAAGAACAAGCCTTTTGGTGGGCGGTTTGTCTAAAGATAAGGCATTTTGTTAGTAAATATTACAATGACATATTATTGTATGTATTTAAAAAAATATAGAGATAACCATAGAGGTGCTATATCAGTTGTCAATGTTTAATATGCTCATAGCAACAATAGATGCAACCACAAATATAACTGTATTACGCAATAACCGTCCTGTTGCTAAAACTTATAGGTATTCGATAGTTTTGATTAAATGAGTCAAAGTGAAAATAAAAGTGCAGGGTTTAATTTGATAGTGTAGAAACGTAGTAAATTGGGTTAGCTGAAAAAGGGTGATTAGATGACCACGCAGTGCAACCAACAACCTTCAGCCAACTTTAACCTCGATGAAGCAGATGCGTAGTCACCCCTGAGAACTAAGATGAAATGTCTCGCTTCCAGTGAAAAAAGACTCTGGTTCTCTACATTCACTGTATTTTGTATTTTTCACTCTCAAATTATTTATTTAAAAAAGAAAATAAGTCACATCAAGCATAAATAATTTTTAAATGATGAAGGAAAATATGTAAAGGAGTAAGGTAGCGATTACAGTAAATATGTTATTATGAAGAGGGTGTGCAGAGCCGGGTGAGATCCACTGCAAGGTAGCGCAAGCACTGATTTTAATTATCAGAATCAGTAGTCAGTACAGCGCGGAGCGTGGTCGGCGACGCACGCTACCATGTTGGTTGAGTTCCTGACAGTTGCCGTGCTGCTGGCAAGCGCCTCCACAGGTCTTTTGTTCATGCAAATACTCGGTCAACGACCCTAGTGACATATGTTAAGGTTACGTGCCCGTGCCGCCAGTTTTTGGTCTTGTTGCCTTTTTCGGGCAGACGGCCTCATCCCGAATTTCGGGACCTTTATTTTTTAATATAGTATTTTTATCATTATCGTTAAGTTATGCTTTTTGCTTTCCCCTGAATGTAAGTATCTTTTAAATTCTGTTTGGGTTGTGACGAGAAATTTATGAGCTTTAAATTAAATTGCCGATCGCAGATTTTTTGTTTGTTGTTGCTAGGTGTACAATTTGTTGACAAAGAAAAATAGGATGTAGAGCAATCAATATTTTAATTTTCGTCGTCTATTTGTTTCTGACTGTTGTAGAAAATGTTATAATTGTGATTTATTTTTATGCTTAATTATATATAATAACTTAATTAGAGAAATTTAATATATGCATAATTAACAAATATACAAAGTATACTGAAAAGGTCGGTGGAAATCCTTTTTAATACTGAAAAAAAAAATAAGTTTGACAAACGAAGGTTTAATTTTTTACGCCAAATTAATAAAGTCGTATTTTATTTTATTAAAGTCAAAATACTTTATAAATTCTGTTTTAATATCTATGCAAAAACTATAACGATTAAATAACAACATACTAACATTATGAAGTAGTCCTACAGGTTCTCATTTCATCGGGAACATTGGGTTTATTAAGTTCAGTAATTTTTAACATTTAGTGAAATAATGATTAACAAATAATTTAAACTATAATAGTATGGTTAAATAAGTAGCTTTAAAGTTATTGACGCGTCGTTAGCGTAGCGCCGAGCTGTCCTTAGAATAGAGTTCAACGGGCGCCCGACTACTTGGTTGATATGGTTCTCGAAAAGTTATTCGTGTTTGCAAATCAATTAACGCAATTAGAATATTTACTTGCCTTTGAATGATAAATGTATTATTTCTTTAATATTTGAACAACATGTGAGTGTTAAATATGACTAAATTTTTTTTAAATATAAAACTAAAGTAACAATCGAACTTGCTGTCCACCCGATGGTAGTTGATACTGCAGTCCACGGACTACTGTAGTATACTTTAAACAAAGATGGGTATAAATTGTAGTCATCTCTGGTGACTTCTACTACTTCGAAAAAGTAATACACTAATACTGTCTATCATTTTAGTTGACAAAGCCAGACTAAAATTCTGACTGATTGAAGTACTGGTTAAGAATCTTTAAAAGTAAGGTAAAGTAACATCTTATAGCGTCATAAGCGTCCTTTTCGGAAAGAGTAACTTTACGTACAAAAAAATATTTTAACATATTTGTCCTTTTCTTAGTAATTTCTTAGTATTTCTTATTGCTTTTTTTTTCAAATATTATGGTGGGCGACGAGAATAGGAGAAAATTTTGAATGGTAAAGTGACATTCAATCTTAATCCCCAGGAATTTGTTTTTCAATACATAATCGAGGAAAGATGATGTCGGCCTTATATGCTACAGAAACCATTTGGTTATATAAAAGAAAATAAGAGGACCTTTACTCTTCGTTTAATCCGCGCGCGAACCACTGATAATGAGCGACGCGCGAACAATGATTATGAGAAACTCTTGTATATACTTATCTGTTGACATAGAGGTTAGAACTTGTTTTCTTATCAAAACCGACGCCTTAGAATATCCGTGTTTAACTTTGTATTGCCAACGCTGAGCTGGAAAAGGTTTTTTTTAGAATGACGGAAACAAACGAACACACAGTCGACCTGATAGCAAGTGGATGCTGTGGTTCGTAGACATCTACATTTTTCTTCGATTAAAAATGCAGATGCGCTGTCACCTCTGTGGGGAACGAATGGCTCACGATCGTAATTTTTGGCATTCCTTATGAAGCCTATGTCAAGCTCTGGACTTGTGATGGGTTGTAAATACAAGAATGCCACAAAACACGGTCTTGAGCCACCTTTAGAACCGAAAACCCCTCATCCCTGGTTTTTGGTTTTCTACAGTCAGCATACGAAACACAACAGCATTAAGATAGTATTTCATACAAGTATTCTGTCAAGTTGTCTGTTTTTCAGGCTAAATATTTGACCGGTCTATTACCACTTCATCCATTACACTGAAATTATATTTATTTTGCAGAAGAGGGCCATTAGAGCAATATATAATTTAAAACCAAAAGAGTCACTGAGACAAAAATTTAAGGAAATCAATATATTAACTCTGGCTTCTCAATACGTTTATGAAAATGTAATGCACGTACACAAAAATAAAAGTAGTTTTGCGAAAATAAGTGATATTCATTCTGTAAATACTAGGAGCAGTCACAAGCTAATAGTACCAGTTACTCAACTCCACCGCGTCAGTAATTCATTCTTGGGGCGATGTATACGCTTTTACAACAAAATCCCAGAAAATATACAAAATTTGTCATACACAAAGTTCAAAAATGTTATAAACCAAGTTTTTATAAAAAGGGTTATTATAATATTAAGGAATTTATGGATGATAATAACCCCTGGGAAGGATGATCGCTACCAAGCTATTTCTAATTTGTCTTGTGTTGTTAATTGTAAACATGATTGTAAGCTATTATTGGAAAAACGTAGTCCCGCTGGGTTTCTTGCTGGTTTTTTCCAGGACATAGGTTTAAATAAGTATTGTTATAATCGACATTGAATAAAAAAGTCTCTGTTTCTGTTTCTGTTTCTTCAGCTTTAGCCACCGAGCGCTCAGATCCGTCCAACTACAGGCCTAACGCTATCACCTCCTTGTTCTCCAAAAAAATGGAATCAATTATTAACTGCCAGCTCATGAGGTACCTTGCAGATCACCAGCTGATTAGTATCCGTCAGTACGATTTGCGCCGAAGTCGTTTAGATGGTAATCTTCTAGGTTACCTAACTTATAGATGGGCGATGGCAGTAGAGTCCAAGTGGGCGGCAGTGGCTGTTAGTTTGGATATAGCGAAGGCCTTCGATCGGGTTTGGCACTAAGCGCTTCTTACGAACCTTCCTACCTATGGGCTCCCCGGGAAATCGTGCAGTTGGATCTACAGTTTTCTTGCAGATCCGAGCAACAAGGTCGTAGTAAATGGTGCATGCACCATTAACGCTGGTGTTCACACGTCTGCGTGCTATCATCACTAACGCTGTTTCTTCTGCATATTAATGATATTTTGCAAGTCTGTAACATTTATTACTATGCAGACGAAAGCACTGGTGATGCTTTATACACCGGCCGTGCCAATAATTCTCGGGAAAACCTTGCAAAGTAACGGGACACGCTAGTGTCTGAAGTTGAAACTTTGTTGAACAAAGTCTCGGACTGGGGGCGACTAAATCTAGTCCAGTTTAATCCCCAGAAGACACAAGTTTGCATGTTTAAACCCCTTTGTCGTATCTCCTCAGTTTTAAAGCACTCCGTTGTTGCCTCAGCCAGTATTGGAATTTTCAGCGTCGACATATCGAGTGACGTGCAGTTTCGTGGTCACTTGGAAGAGAAGACCAAATTGGCCTCTAAAAAGCTTGGCGTGCTCAGCAGAGCGCTATTTCAAGAAGTTGGCAAGCCGGTACACCGTCCGCAACTTTACAAGGTGCAGGTTGGGCGGCACATATGTGTTCCCATCTCTCGGCTGAGACTCCCAGTACCAGCTCTTTCCATTTGATCGCATCCAGCGCAGATCCACCACAGTGCGATTTAAAAGACGTTTTCTTACTCGCACAACTTCCTTGTGGAATCGACTACTATTTTCAGGATCGATACGATAAAGAGACCTTTAACAAAAACGCCTTCTCCTTTTTATAAAGCCGACAACGCATCTGCAATCCCCCTGGTGTTACAGTTGTTCGGGCGGCGGTAATCATTTACCGTCAGGTGAGCTGCATGCACGTTGCCCCCTCCTATAAAAAAGCATACTTATTATTCATTGCATTTTGTTGATTACTCCGATTTTTTTTGCATAAGCGTAATAAATGATTACCGAATGTGAAATTTGAATAGTCTCGGATTCATTATGCTGTTCTACTCTTGACGTAAACCATTCCTGAACCCTGACCGTTTGAGCTCACTTGAAGTGGTTAACGAGAAAATTAGTAATTTCTTTGCATTAATAGTGTTCATCATGTCCATCGTATTGAGAATTGTTTTCATAGCACATACTCTATCATCTACCACTGCCATGCTATAGATTACATCGTTGGGGAAATATTTGCCATAGTTAGCACGCCTGGAACCCGAAGCTTTTTATGTTTTTTTTATTTTTATGTCCTACTAATAATTTTACCGGGTCTGGATGTTGGTTCTAGTGCAAATTATATTTGTAAACTGTCTTCACGATACAGGGGAAATCCTAGACCAGGTGTAAAGTTTATGAACTAAAAAAAACGAATAAAATTTGTAGATAATATACAGCTTCGGATCCTCTTATACCGTCAGTATACTGCACATGTAGTATAGTTAACGTTACCATTACAGCCTGTTAAGGTCCACAGCTGAACATAGACCCCCCTATAGATTTCCTCATAGGGGGATAATTGCCATAGATGATACGCTTGGTGAGTGGGTTGACCCATATCCCGGTTTGTTTTCCTATGTCGCTTCTTACGACCAATACGGGATGATATGTGATATGCATGTTCTTATAGAGCCACTACACGGTAATATAAATGTAGTATAGTAGAGTAATAGTATTGTGTAGTATCTAAAGATCATAAATACGAGCAAATCTGCTATTCAAATGTTTAGATAATTTGCACACCGCTTCTCGCTTAAATTCTCAGAACTATGTCACTGGTTCATATACAACAATGGCATTCATAGGTAACATAAGAAGCAACCGTTTCGTTTCAAGTGAACTTGAAACGAAACGGTTGCTTCTTACTAAAAACTTAACGTTCTGAAAAACGTTAAGTTTTTAGTAAGCTTGAATTTCACTGGTATGCATATTTTTTTAAATAAGAAAGGCATTTTTAATAAGAGTTACTAACAAGCATGTACATCTTG